TATTCATATTTTGCTGTTACGAGATTTGCCATTATTGTGTATATATTTGTTTGGGTTTTTGTTGATGCTCAACAAATTAGCATCAGAAACTTCCACTGTGCCCAACATTATTAAAAATGTAATTATTAAAAAAAAAAAAAAAAAACTAATTCTATCTGACGATTAAAAAATATTTGATATGAATAAATTTCTATTTCAACAGTGAGGAAGATATTATTTCTGTTTTAAAATATATACGGTATACAATTCAACTCACCATAACCTTCTTTCCAACATAATCATATCTTAACATATTTTTTGAACTTTTCATTCTTCTAGCATTATTCCCTATGTGAGTTAAACTTATTTACATGTCCAAATCATCGTACTTGTTTTTGCTCTACTTATCTTCATTTGGTTTTACTTAAACCATTTTACTAATGTACTTATTTTTTGTTCTATCATTTTCTGTGTGTGTGTATTGTCTCACAGCCATTACATTTTCGTCACTCTCATTTTATGCATATTATGTTTCTTAGTTATCCCAACATTCTGTAAGATAAAACACAACTTGTCTAAAAAGTTCTCTTTCACATACGGATCACACAATACAATGCACGCACTCTTCTATTTCATCCAAAATAAACACGCGCGCGTAGTTTGTAGGCGTTTGGTCCGATAGAAAGTGACTGTGAGAAGAATTTGTATTGGCGAAAAGCCTTTATCAGCCTAGTCAATTTTGTATGGGAGACAGTTGCTCATTAAGTGACTGACATGTTCACCTAAATCCATGACAAGTCCAATTCTAAAATGAAACATTGGGCCGACCGGCCCAAATAGAGTTGTTCAATTTAAAATGGACTATCAAAGCAACACAACGTGGTCAATTACTGACCATAAAAATAAAATACAAAAAAAGAAAAAGAAAACATGGTCAATTCAATTGGCTTCGTTGGCAACCACGTGGCATTTATGCTACAGTACATGTGATCCTTTTGGGTTATAGGATCCTGAATGGGACATGTTGATACGTCAAAATTCAATTATAGATTGGAAAATTAAGATTTTTTCCTTATTTTCTTCAGATTTTTTATAAACAATGCCAAATTTTAACTTTTTGTAGCGTATCATTGCATATGTAAATTATGGTTGTATACTAAATTATCATTTGTTTTCAAAAACATAATAAAACTTTTTTTTTTTTTTTTTTCTAAACTTTCTGAATTTAATGTTGTTTTTAGTTCAACTGATCTCCTCCCATAACACACTTCGTGAAATATATATGTGTACCTAACCCAAAAAATAAAAGAAAATAAAATATTGATGGTTTTTGTTGGTAGGTAATAGGTATAGCTTAATGGACGGCCACTTTGTTCAAACTTTGTTTTGTTTTGTTTTGTTTTTTTGTTTTGTTTTGTTTTTTTATTAAATTTTCGTACTTTAAACCAAAATTTCAATATTTAAATATTAAAATTACGTCATCTTTCATAATTTAAGATTTTAGAGTAGAGGATTGTTAACATAATATCACAATCAAAGATTTTGAATTCAAACATCACCATCACTCTAATAAAAAATTAAAACATGTGTTGGACCAAAATAAAACCACACGCGAGGAACGTATGTGATGATCCCGGGCAAATCTAGTGACAACACTTAATTGAGCCAATTATTATCACTAGAGTTACTAATCTTTGAAATATGGATGGAATAAAGCTTGAGCATGACCCCAATAAATTGTTCACATTCAAAAAAAAGTCTCTAAGATATTTCACGGGGCACCCGCCCAAATAAATTTTCATTTGAGCCAATGAACCCATTAGGTTAACCAAATATGTGTTTCTCAAACAAGGATTTTCAATACAAAAAAAAATACAATAACCAATACTCATTAGTTATTAGCCTCACCTAATCACTTGCACATCAAAAGAAAGAAAAAAAATACGGTTAGTAAATCTTTTTCATTGATATTGTCCTTCACCTATTATATTATCTCTGTCGCATAAAAAATATTATGTTTGGAAAACCGTAACTCACATGATGTCTTATTTGGAAAACCGTGACTCATGTAAATTATAGTTCCCTAAACAAGATATCTTTTATAAAACAGAGAGAATAGTACGTATCTGGCTTTTATTCTAATGATCAATTAAATTCTATTTGAATGAAAGAAATATAGTTATTATGACGAGACTATTGCTTTATTATTTTCCTATCGGTCGGCTAAAAGTATACACGGTGCACACAATTTCTAATGATCAATTAAATTCTATTTGAATGAAAGAAACATAGTTATTACGATGAGACTATTGCTTTATTATTTCTATTTGAATGAAAGAAACATAGTTATTATGACGAGACTATTGCTTTATTATTTTCCTATCGGTCGGCTAAAAGTATACACGGTACATACAATTTCTAATGATTAACTAAATTCTATTTGAATGAAAGAAACATAGTTATTATGACGAGACTATTGCTTTATTATTTTCCTATCGGTCGGCTAAAGCCTAAAAGAACGGTACACACAATGTGACACACACAAACACATATATATTTTTTCCGGAAAGTCACACACATATATATTGGTCAAGTGAAATATCTAGCTAGGTTGTCAAACAATCAACGTTTACTTCTCCTGTTCTCCCCTCCATAGATTTGCCTTTTCAAGAAAAATAAATAAACTCACATTTAAATATCAGTGACAAGCTCAGTAATCACTTTTAAACCACCCTCAACAATATCTTTGCAACAAGCATGTAATAATGTAATATTTTCATTTGACATGCTTTGGTTTTTGTTCTTTTTATTTTTGTACGGTTAGAGTATCAATTTTAGCAATAAAAACATGTTCGGTGTGGTCTTATTTTATTTTACACAGTATTAAAACACTTCGTAAATAATGGCCCAAAATCAAAACACAAAAAAATTATTTTTTTATTTTGACAACTGTTCATGATTGAAAACTATACTTTGCATGTTTCTGTTTTTGATATTTTCATAACAAAATATCGTTATCAAACATGCTTTCAATTTTTTTCCAAAATACTCCTACAACAAAAACACTGTTTCTAATTTAACCAAAAACAAAACGTTTAAAATAAAGCACATGCCAAACTAAATCATTTCATCGAAAACATAAAAGTATCTAATATATATATATATATATATATATATATATATATATATATTGTGTGTGTGAAGAGTTCGTGCAGATTAATTAGCAATTATACGCATAAGGTTGTGTGTTGGACAATCCTAACCATCAAATTTCGTTAATTGGATCGGATTAATTAGTTAGATAGTCATGCAAACATTCTTCCACATATAAAATATCTTACACCATAAATTGAAATTACTATAAAATATTCAATAAACAAATAAAAGTTTGGTAGCACTTACTGTCTGAGTGTTATAAATGTCAATTATTAATATATATATATATATATATATATATTATAATTTGTTGCAGTGATCCAACAACTAAAAAATCAAAACATGCAAGTACAGGAAAACGCTGGGTACTGGAACATACCAGTCGTTTGAAGAAAACAAAACACCATTAATAACTATGTAGATATAGATCGAAGCACTTTTTAAAGTAGAGTCTGTTCATTGTCACAACGCATCGATTCAGTGTATCATATATATACTACTACAATTTTCACTTTTTCTTGTTGAATTGTCCATTTCTCTCTCTCTACCATTTTCTCATACGTAGTCCAGTTATAACTTAACAAAAGCAATATCCTAATTCTGAGGCCAAGCCACCACCAGTTATATATGGTGACTAGTAAATGAAGTAAACTAATTAAGTAAAAGTATATATTTAAATAAAAAATTATGAATCCTATAAGTACGTAGCAACAGAGGAAACCAAGTCATTGTACTAATTCTGTTCTCAGTTTCATCAATATATGTTACAATCAAAAGTTCAAAACCAATTTCTGGTTTATTTAAACTTTACATTATCAATTTGAAAACTGTTTCAAAACTTATATATAATTTAGTAAATTTCCGATTTTTGCAAATTAGATTGTGAAAACAAAATAATTTTGAAATTGGGAATTCTTTTTCAATTGGTAATTAATTAAGATTTATTAAAAGGAACAACAAGGCACGCAAAACCAAGCGAATGTACAAGATACAGTAATAATAATAATAATTTGACATAATTATTAATTGCAGTTGCCGGCAGTTACAGTACTTATTATTTACTTTCAAATTAAGTTGTAGGGACAGTTCAAAAGGAAGTCACCTACTTCTTCACACTCTGAGCTTAACTAAATCATTTCAACTTTAATTATTGTTGTTAGACTGAGTACGTAGGAATCTTATTCAATCCCAATTTTCTATTTCCGACCCTACAATCCAATAAAATTATTAAGTGGAATAGTGCGTTGTGCTCCCGCAATCTGATTGTAGAATTTGAGAAGGGTTAAATGGAGGAAGTTTTATTTTTAGATCAAAATGAAGCAATTAATTTTACCATTGCGCTAACCATAAGAAAAAAACTTTATAAATTAAATTGTCACTTGAATTTTCAGTGACACCTTAGTTAGACAAAAGAAGTATTTACTAGTATTATGCAAAAGCAATTAGATGTAGAAGCAATTATATATATTAACTTAAAATGGTAAGAGTATGCAAGGGAAGTTAGGTGAATAAAAAATTTCCGAAAAAAGGAAAAAGGAAAAAGGAAAAAGGAAAAAGGAAAAAGTTAGCTGATTCTAAATGTGTTTAAATGGGCCACTTGGCACACGAGCAATGGCTGCATTGGGGAAGATAGAAACCCTAGTTTAATACTTGCAGACAATTGCATGGGCCACTGGACACAAGCAATGGCTGTGTTGGATATCGATCATAATAAACCCTAATTAAATACTGGCAGATGCAGTAGTTTACAGGTATGATTGTAAGCATCATTAATTGAATTTTGGTAGATTTTGCGTCTTAATTTGTTATCAACTCGTACGTGTCCTTTTCTCTCTCTCTCTCTCTCTATACTTTAGCCTTCCTCTCTCTATCTCTCTCTGTGATCAATGAAGCAGCTGCTAGCATAAATAACAAAGATCATATCTGCCCATTTCTTGTCACTACAGCTAGCTCTACCTCTTGTGGTTTTGATATGGAGCTGCCGAATTGTGCCGACAGTAGTTGTAGTAGTAGTACTGTTGGTTTCGAAATATTCATGAATGGGAAGCAAGTTGCAGATCATGCAAGCAATATTGAGTTGGGAAGTCCAGTAGTGGACACACAAAGACTCCTAAAAGGTGGAGGAGATAGAGAGCATGTTTACATGAAGTCACTCTCTTCTGCCCAAATGGACTCTCTCATTGCTTTGTGTGACACCTTCTTGCCCTCCATCAATCTCTCCAATCACACCACCACCATACATCATCATGATCCAATCCTTCAATTCTATCAAACTTCAGCCTCCATGGCTCGAACTCCGCAAAGGGTAACAATTATTACTTCCCTACCTCTTTTCTTTTTACTAAAAAAAAAACACTCAAAGCACACAATCAAGTCCCTTGACAACAAATAAAATCGATACACACACACACACATATATATGTATGAGAATTCGAAGGATAGAATACCCCAGAGAACAGTATACTACCCACAGAAAAGAAAACCCTAATTAATGAGGAAGTAGACAAATAATTAATATTTATGAAACTTGTTTATATATAAAAGTAGTTTTGTTTTGATGGCGGGTAAATTATTGTAGGTTGAAGAGATGATTAGTGGGAGATTAACGCATCCGAAGCTGGTATTGATGAGATTGGCATTATGGTTGCTTGCAACATGGATAGGAACCTTCATAATATGTGGAAGACGCAGTTTGACAAGCCAATTTCCATATTTCAGGAGGTTCTCTCAATTGCCACTCCACAATAGAGAAGACATCCTCAGGTCATTGTCTCTCAGCTATTTCTATCTCAACAGAATGCTCTTCTTAGGCTTGAAGTATCTCACTCTCCTTGTATTCTTCACTCAGGTATGTGTATTTATTATTCAATCTTTTACTCATTTGCACCTCCATCATAATACATATATATATATATATATATATATATATATATATATATATATATTACACTCATTTTTTCTTATTTTCCTAATCTATTCATTTGATCGACTTATTCACTGGTCATATTTTCCTAATCTCTTCATCAAAATGTTATACATCTTACCCTCTATAAATCCAGCAGTGGTGAGAGAGCCTTGTGCAGTGAATTCTCTCTTTTTTAGCAGTAGGAGATAATTAATATGATATATATTTAATCTGATAGCATATGTTTTGATCCACTTGTATAGACATGTTTTTATATAATTATCCAATTATACACATATAGTAACACTGTATTTTACTCCCGAACCAGTCAACGTTACCTCGTGCTTGTTATGTGAATCAATTGTAATAAAAACACACATGCAAACCCATAAATTCTTGCCAGGTTCATAAATATATATATTTGCTCAGTGTAATTCATGCATCTGTGTTACATATATATATACAGATGCATGAATTACACTGAGCAATATATATATATATATATATCTCAAGTACTGCATGAGTCATGGGGTGGACTCAGGATAGACTGTGAAGTTATCCTGTGGACTGTGACTGAAATGATGCAGGTATGTATGATTAGGGTAATTAATGGTCTGTATTCCACTATTTATTCCTAAATAAAGAATATGTCCCTCCCCGAGGCACATGGGATTTTAACGATCCTTTGTTCAATTTGCCTTTCTCACTAATTTTCACTTTTGACATTCAAACTTCTTAATCAACTTTTTCTTTTCTCTCTCTCTCTCTCTCTCTCTCTCACCTCTCTCTGAGTGGGGGAGGTGTTGATCCTTATCGCCCACTGTGTAATAAATTCGGTGTGTTATACATAATTTGTTCGGTGGGTAGTTTCACGCTGTTTTGCTGTTATTTTGTTAGATTTATTCTTATTTGCTGATTTTCTGACTCGATAGGATAGATCTGTTGTTTACTCTCGCTTGTTGCTCTTCTTCCTTTAGTAGTTTCCACTGTTATGTGTTAGCTTATTCCTTAATAAATTTGGAGCCTGTTCTTGAGTTTTTTTTTTTTTTTGGTGTGTTTGCCTTTATACGGCCATTTTTGACAACGTTTTCACTTTTGACTTTTTTTCTCACTTTTATATTCTACTTTTGAAAAATGATATAAATGTAAACACCAAATCACACATGAGCTGTTTAGATATATTTATTGAGCTAGATTTGGGTGTGTTGGGCGCACCGGTGCATCTATATATGAGCCATTCTTATATATGTGGTTTACACTTACATAATATGTATGGTTTGAATAAGTCGGTGCATAATATATCGGGCGCACTTAATACTTTCTCTTATTTAGTCATTGAATTACGTTATGCATTAAATAATTTATTTAACTTTTTACATATCTTAAAAAACAATTTCTATCTAATAATTAAATAAGAAAAACTCATAAGTCTTCTTATGAAAGGAACTTCTTATAAACGTTACTCTTTGATTTTTGTATCATTTATTCATTACTCTCTTACTCATATGATGGCATTATTATTGTCCTTATTTAGATGTCGTGCTTTCTGAAGATGACATTATTATTGTCCTTATTTAGATGACATACTTACCCATCAATTGGTGGTCATTGTTTTTTAAAACTCACAATGAGGAGGTATATAATATCCGAAGTATTTAATATGTGGTACTGAATTAATTATACATTCATTCGTTTTTCTGGACAACTCTTCATTTCTCCTATACCAAGATAAATTAATTTTTTTTATAACTATTCATTGAAGTACCGCGCGAGTAAATATCTCTGAATATTTTATACTTTCTCATAATTATGGAGTGTGATAATACTATTGAGGACAAATTTGTCATAATGATCTCAGGATTAAAAACTCGAGTTAATTCTAAATTAGCCAATATCATAGTCTCACAGTTAAAAAATTTCTTACTTAGTTTAACAAATGTTAGTAAATTATTTGAAGGAAGAAAGAAAGCAAAGTACATATATCCATTAACAACGATATACAGAATGTACATATCCTTATTGAACACTGTAAAACTTAAAATGTCTTTAAAATTAATAAAAAATAAATATTTTTTCTAAAAACTCTTATTTAATTATTATTTTATTTATTTTTGGTTTTTATTATTTATTTATTTATTTATTATTATTATTATTATTTTTTGGAGAAAAAGTAATATATTAAATTCCCTTAAAGAGTATTTTGCTATTTTTATAAAAACAAATTGGTCAAAAGTTTTTTTTTTTTTTTTTTTGCACTTTACCCAATTATAAATGAAGAAAGTATACCACATGTCAATGAATGAAGATGTGGAAAGTTGGTAAGTTACTAATGAAAAGGAAATATCTACCACTAATGTGAGAGATGGCAATTAATAATGCCAACAGAAGAAGAGAGGAGACACATAAAGTCCAAAACTGGAATCATAATAAAATGAAATATCCAATGATATGCTATAAAGCTTTATCCATTTCACAGTCGACTCCCACACCATGACACCAAATTCATAGGGCCTTTAATTCTTGAATATATATATATATATATATATATATATATATATATATATATATATGTATGTATGTGCGCACGCATGTTCAATGGTACGTAGTATTAAAATGCCATTATTTTATACAAGTATTAAAATTAGATTGATTTCACTCAGTTATATCAACATCATGTAACAACAATAACATTCTAGAATGCACCACAAGAAGCTTTCAGTTGGGGTGTGTAGGGTTGTTTACCACGTTACCCGTACAAACAGGCAATAGGTACATAGGTATCCTGAATGACATTGACTATACAAATATAGACATTTAATTATACATGTAAATTGTTATATATATATATACAAATATACGTGCAACTTGTTATACATATGAACATGTATAAAATACATGCAAGACACGTTTAAACTTTTTCTCAGATACACCGTTCCTTAATTAAGGATTTAAAAAAAAAACATGGCAACAGAAATTGACTGATCGAATGAAAGAAGCAAAAAAACAAATATATATATATATATATATATTCAAGTTTTGTTGCAATCGGGAGCAGTATGAATTGTAAACATCTGGGTCTGCTGTTGGTTCAATTTATGGGAGAAGTAGTTCTGGGAATGGTTAGGTCGGTGTTTTCATGGGTTGGATTCATTAATTTAGGATTAAAACTAGTCATACGAAAAGTCACAATGGCCACAGATTTCACAAGGACCAACAATCCTCCTTATTTATTCACTATCACATCACATCCCAATGTTCACAATTATTATATGCCATCAACTTTCCACAATGAGAAACACAAAATCTGGTGTTTGCCTTCTTGGCCCATGCTTTGCCTGATTTTGGGCTTTTTTTGGCTAATGGGCCTATTGTTCTAGTCTGTGTTTGAATGCTTATACCAAAATTTGAAGCACCACAGTGTGTTTATATTTTTGTTTTTTTCAGGTAAATGAGAAGAATGAGAACCAGTCTTGGAAAGCAATTGGCTACTGTGGACCTGACCCAGACTTCAAAACCAGATGTAATTTTCCAAAAGCCCAACATCAAGAAGAGCTGTTTGGGCCTCTTTACAAATGCCTCATCAACCTCAACTACCCAAGACAATTAGTCTTCGAAACACTGACACAATCTGGTTTTTCCATCTCAACTCCCCATGGGAAGAAAGCAAAATCAAATTATTATTCACTCAACCCTTCTTTCATTATCAAATGTGATGCCGTCGTAGTCGGTTCTGGCTCCGGTGGGGGTGTCGTTGCCGGAGTTCTAGCCAAAGCTGGCTACAAAGTGCTTGTCCTAGAAAAAGGACAATATACGGCCAGAAGCAATCTCTCGCTTCTTGAAGGACAAACTTTGGACCAAATGTACCTAGGCAATGGGTTACTAGCAACTGATGATATGGGTGTAGTAGTACTTGCAGGTTCCACTGTAGGTGGAGGTTCCACAATCAATTGGTCGGCTTCGATTCGCACTCCTGAACACGTACTCAGAGAATGGTCTAACCACTATGAACTTGAATTGTTTCAAAGTAGATTGTACAAAGAAGCTTTGGACGGTGTCTGTGACAGAATGGGAGTTCAATCTGGAATCGACAAGGAAGGTTTCAATAACGCTGTTTTAAGAAGAGGGTGTCAGGAACTGGGCTATCCTGTGAACACCATTCCCAGAAATTCACCACCAGATCACTATTGCGGTTGGTGCTGCCTTGGCTGCAAGGATGGAAGAAAGAAAGGGACTGCAGAGACATGGCTAGTGGACATGATGGATTCGGGTAATGGTGTGATTCTTCCAGAGAGTGAAGCCATACAAGTGTTGCACAAGCGAAAGAAAGGGAGAGCACGAGGCACCGCAACTGGGGTTGCATTCGAATTCCATTGTCAAGGGGCAAAAGAGATCTGTATAGTGGAATCGAAGGTGACAATTGTGGCATGTGGTGCTCTAGGAACTCCTCCATTGCTCAAAAGAAGCCACTTGAAGAATCCCAACATTGGGGAAAACTTGCATCTCCATCCGGTGACTATGGCATGGGGATACTTTCCGGACACAGCTTTGTCCAGCACATGGCCAGAAGCTGAGAAGACGAGCTACGAAGGGGGGATAATGACAGCAATGTCTACAGTGGTTGGGAATTACAATACCTCTGGCTATGGCGCAGTGATACAGACACCGGCATTACACCCCGGGATGTTCTCAGTGTTGATGCCATGGGTTTCTGGCATTGAAATCAAGACGCGAATGTGCAAGTTTTCAAGGACAGCCCATATATTTGCATTGGCAAGGGATAAAGGATCAGGAGAGATAGTATCACCAAGCAAAATTAGTTATCGGATGGACACGATTGATGAAGAGAATTTAAAGAGAGGACTAGAGAAGATCCTGAGGATACTGGCAGCAGCTGGAGCTGACGAAATCGGAACTCATCATTGTAAAGGAAAAACCTTGAAAGTGAAGCAAGTGAGCTCGCATGAGTTTGAGAGGTTTGTGAAGGAGGAGAGTTCAAGGGCATTGAGAGACCTTTCGACACCAATATGTTCAGCCCATCAGATGGGGAGTTGCCGGATGGGTGTGGACTCCAAGGGCTCCGCAGTGAACCAGATGGGGGAGACATGGGAGGTGGAGGGACTGTATGTTGCTGATTCAAGTGTGTTTCCAACTGCATTAGGTGTGAATCCAATGGTGACGGTTCAGGCCATTGCATATTGCACTGCACAATCAGTTCTTCAAGTTCTCAGGAGGAAGAAAGTCACACATTATGCTAAATGAGTCCTTCTCACCGATCATCATCATCCTTTTGCCTTAATCCCACCATATCACATGAGTTCTCTTATATATATATATATATATATATATTGTATTATACACCATGTTTTCTCATAGATTTTACACATCATGTAATTTCCGGTTGAATAAGACGATACACACCATCTTAGTCTAATTTCATTACTTATATGCTGTTATACCTACTGTCCCCTGTTAAAAAACTTGAATGTATATCCATAATATATACTAGGGATGGCAACGGGGCGGGTTTGGAGCGGGTTTCCCTAAATCCCGTCCCTTTTAATTTTTGTCAAGTCCATGCCCTCCGAGACCCGCGACGGGTTGGAATTTCATGTCCAGCCCCGCCCCGTTGGAAAATACTGTGCCCCTGTGCCCGCCCCGCTAACAAATTTTTTTCTCTCACTTTTTGGAACTTAAGCTCCTGCTATATGTGGAAAGACTGGGAATGGCACAATATAAATGAAATTATGTATCCCAACAAAAATAAAAAAATAACATGCACATAACATAATTCAGAGCACATAATAAACAAAAATAAAAGTTTAATACAACTAAATCACAAGAAGTTCTAAACTCTAACTTCCACTATAACTAAAACAAAAACAAATTTAATACCAAATTTACATTCCAAATTAGGATTGTAAGAGATTGGTAACTGAGTAAGTCGCTAAAATAAGTTATTAATATTATATATATATATATATATGCTTAGCGGGGCGGGGCCCTTAGGATATGTATACTGAATCCTTACTCGCCCCGTGACCCTCGACGGGTACAAAATTTATATCCATACCCGCTCCAACGGTATAAAAAGTATTTCCATATCCGTTATTAACGGGGCGGAACGGGGCGGAACCCCGACGGCGCGGTAAAAATTGACATCCCTAATATATACAGCTTATATCATCACTCAATAATAGGGACAATGACCCTTTAAAAAAATCACCAAATTAAGAATTCAACTAATAATAGGCATGGTGTCTGTCTAGTGCAGCAACCATCTGGGGAATGGGATATATCTTCAAATATTTATTTTCCAAGTTGATCCCAATCCATTATCATCTTTCATCAGCATCAGATGCCCGCGAATACTCTGGCCCCACACCCTAAATCTCAAACAATTATATTCTCGCATAGACCCCCATCTCATATGTACAATTTATATTATAATAATAAAACGTAATCAAATTAAAGAAGAATCTTATTGGAAGTTTCTAGGAACTTAATTAAGCATCCACACTTTGCACAAATTGCACGTTCTCCCTACCCATCTTTGTATATAGATCCCTAACAAAACCGAAATTTCCAGCTCTCCCTTTCAGAAGGGGTGCCATAGAATGCCACGAAAATAGAATATATATATATATATATATAAAAAAAGGCCCCTGCTTTGTTTCTACCCAAACACGTCGGTGTTTAATTCTGGAAACCCATAATTAAATATAGGTCTCCTCTCGAATTTGACCAGCTCAAATGTCAAATGACAACAACAGATTAACACCAAACCTTCAAATATATTCCCATTCCAAAACTGTCCCCAGAGAACAATTGAAGAATAATAGCATCTCTCTTGCAATGAAAGACTCCTTTGGAAACAAGTCAACCACCCCAGGGGAAGAAAGAGCTTCCCCTGGCAATAGGGGGTGGCCCTAACCCAGAGGACACCAACAAACCTTTCTTTCCCTTGAGTTGGCCTCAAGCCTCCTCCTCTTTCGCTAATTCTCCCCTTTCAAGCCTTGTCAAACCAAACACAGCCTCCCATGGAGAACCACCGCTCCGGGGTCACCATAACTCTGACAATAATCGCCGTCCTTGGCCTCGTGTCCTTCGCACTCTGCATCGCGGCCGAATTTAAGAAGACAAAGGTAGGAGGGTTACACGTTTTTTTTGTTAAATTGTGCATCGTTTGCAACATCTTGCATTGTGCAAATGGTTTCATATTTACTGGCTGGTGTTTTGTGGTGCAGAAGAAGGACATCAAGTTGGATGGAAAGCTCTGTAGTTTGCCAGGGAGTCATGCTTTCAATTTCGGTATAGTTGCTCTTTTCTGTCTGATCATTGCTCAGATCATTGGGAACGCAATAATCTGCAGAAATTTCTGTTCAAGAGAGAAGAGAACCGGTTGGAAGTCCAAAAAACCAATGGTTGCAATCAATTTTCTGGTTCTCTCATGGTAGGTGATCTATCTATGTCATGCATTGCCTATTTCTAAGCAAAATAGATCATACAACTAGAACTTGAATAGACCATTGTTCTATTAAATGTAAAAAAAAAAAATAATCAAAATCTTTTTTTCAACAAGCATATAAACAATTAATCGGCCACCAGGGAGTGTTTTCTGTTAATTCAATGGATTATCAACATTTGCCGGTGGCCATAATCAAAAGTTGGGATGCTATGATTATTGGTCAATGTCTAACAATATAGAATAATATTTTGACACACCCTAAAATAGAACCTAAGAACACGGAAAGGTAGATGTACATGAATATAGTCAGTAGTATATGTGAATAAAAGACGGCCTGAGACAACATATATATATATATATAAAGAAGGCTCATGAATCTTATGCTATTGCAGGATCAGCTTTGTAATTGCATTTGTATTAATAGCTGCAGCCACAAGTATGAACAAAAGGCAATTATACCAGAAAGGATGGTTAGACGGCGATTGCTACGTCGTTAAAGACGGAATATATATTGGTTCGGCTACGCTAGTCCTCCTTACCACGAGTTTGACGCTCATTTCGGCCATCATAACAAGGAATAACCCAATTGAACAATGCTGGAAGGTGCATGCACAAAGTTCATGACAAAATTGAGATCAAAAGAACATGACAGAAAGAGAGAGACGGAGAAAGAGAGAGGCTGAACAGCTAAAGCCAATCTACGGGGGTGGGTGGGAGAGAGACAACTGCACCATATATCAACTGCATCCACCGAAGAAATGGACTGCATAAATAAACAGAAAGATACAAAACTGTAACCATTCTTTTGGATGTGGTATTGGGGAAGATGGTGAATAAAGGAATTCCTCTACAGCTCACTTGGGACTTTTGGTCCCCACCTAATGTTAAAAAAAATTATATGAAAAAAAAAAAATTTGCCAAAAGGAGAAGTTTCTTTTGTACGCATTCTACCCCGGTCCCTCTCACACAAATTTGATATTACACTGTTATTTGAGCCTGCATTTTTACACACACACACACACACACACACATAATATTATATACCAGCACTTATTGCATGGAGGAGTCATTAAAGCATGACCTTGGAAGAGTGTAAATTCAAGAATGTGCTTTAAAGAAAAACATTTGAAACTAGATCGATAATTAAAAAGAAAAGTGGTAGAACAAGGCAAAACCAATATGTCTCCTCAAAATGAAATTGAGGAATGATAATATTACTCCTCTACAGTAATCAAACTGATGACAATTTCAGCCCCTCCAAAACTCAGAGGAACCATTAAATAGTATTTCTTACGAAAAATACTAGTAGCTCCGATGTACGGTTAAGAACTACCATAAGATATTTAATCTCATCCCAAAAACTACGATGAGGTCTGCTGGAAAACAACTTCTAGTAGAGGCTATGAGCTCCATGGTGAACAATAAATTATTGTTGATAAGAGAAAGGAAGGGAGGGGGGCACTGTGGACATTGGAAAGAAAGATATTATTGTTGATTATCAAAGGAGTGGGCACAGACATTTACACTTGATTCAAAATCTAGAACTACAGAAAGTGTTATACAATGCAAAAAGCGGAAAGCTTCACAGAACCATATCTTCTTTTTAACCTTAAAACCAAGCTGGCAAGCTGTCTCAAAGCAGATTAGATTTCCAAACATCACTATCAATGCAAAGAAGAAAACCAATGCAAATGGAACCATTGAAATCGATCCTTAAAAACTGGATGGGATGAATGTCCTCTGAGATTCAATCACTACAAATGACTAGCGAGTAGTGTGTTCAGAACTATCTAATCTTTTTCTTTATACATCAAAGCATGCGATTCTTTATACGTGCACAAGATGAAGAACCCCATTTATGATGATAGGGGGAGAAATATAACCCAGGAATTCCTATAATAATTCTCTAGTGTCAAAAAATGTATACCTTTTACATATTATTTAGAGAGAGGGAGAGAATTAATTCAAATGCCATGTTAAACATAAAAGCAAAACCCCTTTTACCATTGAAGCCAAAAAAAAAAAAAAAATCATAAACACAATCAAAGCATATTATCATCAAAATCATACCAAACGCCATATTTGGCACTATACATTAGACATGGATCTAGGTATCATAGAACAAACGCATAGTTTGAAGTGAACATGGTACTAATAGCACATAGTGCCATACACATAGTTTGAAGTGAACATGGTACTTATAGCACATAGTGCCAACATTACATCTCGCTTAGGGGGATGGGGGAAACCTGTTCCAGAAAATGATTCCCATGAGAGCACCCATTTCGCGGATAGAAGTTGCTAGAATCAATTAACAAGAGAGCCGTTACCAAAAAAAAAAAAAGAAGCACATGAACCAGTCGTAATTGTTAGCTTCCCTTGTCCCTACCAAGCAAAAACTGCAAAACCATCAACGTATCTGTGGTTCTTATATGGAGATTCTTATACCAAGATTCATTTCTCAGAAGCCAGTTGATGAAGGAAATAAAGATCAAAAGCGTAACTGCTATAGACACAAGCAAGCATGTACCTTTGAAGCATTAACACTCAAATAATGTCACATCCTCCAGTTCCCAGCACGGCCCCTCCCACCATAGTTATATCCCCTTCCCCTGCTATAAGAGCCTCGGTAATCCTCACCACGCCCAGCTCTCTGACCACCATAACTTAGATGAGGTCTCTGCTGGAAATTGCCAAAAGTCTGGAAAAAAGAATAACAGCTAATCAATAGGTAGTCAAAGAACAATTGATACCCTTATTTTTAGCTGCGTAAAAACATTGTGTCTCGTTTTTTAACATTCCAGAACTGAACATAATAGAAAGAAAAGGCAAACCTCAGTATCCATCTTCATTCTCTCTACGAACCTAATTTGTCCATTCCTTCCTCCGCGGGCAAGCGAATTACAGGATATTGTGTCAAAAAACTCATCCTTATTATATGCAGACTACACAGAGAAGCAAAAAAATCATTTCTGTAAGTTTACATATATAATACAGGCACAAGATAACCGTTTTCTCAAAATTCAGAATAACAAATTGTTATGTTCACATCTGGACAAGGACAAATAGGAGGAATCTAACTCATAAAAATATAATATATATGCACAAAGTTCTTCAAGACCTACTCTCGAATCGAACTTCTGTACCGAGCCATGAACCACTTCATCACCCAAGTTTTGACCAGCTTCATTTTCCACCATCCCCACCTTTTCATCCTGTTGCTTAGCATTTCCAAGATAGCCCCATACTTCATCTTTTTTAAATTTCTCATTCATGGCTTCAAAGTCGAATTCTTCAGTGAACTGCGGCATAGAATATTGGGACTGCAATATTTTTGACAAAAACAAAAAATAACATACAAAAATAGAGTTTCAATCGAAATTTTTATGTACTTCACAAAAATGTGTTTCTACATGGGCACGAGTAACTACATGCAGCATCCAGGAACTTTTTTTGTTAGACAACCTTCTTCATCTAATGAGAGGAAACAAAAGCTAAGATTCAGCAATGAGATCGGATCATATACTATAACTTCCTTTGGAACAAGCCATGAACCAAAATCAAACATCGAAAATTTCCAACCACAAATAAAGAAAGGATAGACATATTTTTTAGCCAAGAAAGGACAATAAACACATGCACACACATATCAAAGTTGGAATAGCATACCATTAGAGTCCAAGATAACATGGCATGTGTATAACAGGGAGGATAAGGAACCATGCTTCATAGGCTATCAAGGAATCGCAGGCAAAAAGGAACACACAATAAAAAATAATATTAATAATAATAATAATGTGTCTGTGATATGCAATGGTAGGTTAACCTTTAGTGAAATTGGAGCCTCTAGCTACCTACAAAGAAAGATTGGACTCATGCATCAACAGGGGAAAAAGGATGAAATCTAACTTTTTGTTGCAAATTTAGGGTTTCTAGTAATCTACAGTTATTTCTGGCATCACCTCTTTCAACATCAACACCAATATAAAGAATAGAAAAGAAAAAAAAAAAAAAAAAAAAAAAGAAGAAGAAATTTCTTCATATAGATATATAACCATGATGAAATTAATCAAACTATCACATCCATTTCTAAAAAGTCTCCATTAAATGTGATGGCACCAAAAGAACTTCAATAGGTAATAAAATGGCAAAAGTGACACCATACACAGGTGCAAAGCAGATTAAGAGTAACTGAAAAATTAAAAATTTCGGCAGAGGAGAAATTTTTGCCAACCTGTTGTGCAGAAAGTGGCAATGGTAACAGTGGTCCTTGAACTACTGGATTAGTCATTGAGAGCGGAAAATTAGGGGATGCTGAATACATGGCATCTATATCCTTCTGACTAGAGTTGGATTGCTGAGCAGGAGAAAGTAGACGGGGTTTAGGCTGTGTTAACTGATCTGGAGTTAACAAAGTAGGTGGCAGCTTTAACAAGGGACCTGATGTAGAATCTGCAACTGAAGATACAGAACATGGCAAGGACTGAACAGAGAGGACCTTTACTGGATCAAAACCAGCTTTATCAATAGTGCGAGCTTTGATGGTGTTCATTTCTTGACCAGATGAAATATATGATCCATTAGTAGTCAAAAGTGCAGGATGAGATGTCATAGATGGCTTCATAAATGAAGGAGGTGTATTAGTAGGGAAAGTAGAATGTTGTTCTGGAGTAAGACCTGATATAATATTTGAATTTACAGAATTAGTGATCAATGAAGATGCAGGAGCAACACTATCCGACAAATTTGTTGACACCAAGGTGGTAGGTGCCTGAGTAGACGCAGACATGGGCACAATTGGAAAGGGGTGTTGGGGAGCATAAGAGATGCTGTTCGATGTTCCATCATGTCCTTGCCAAAACATTGGCATCACAAAAGATGCCATATTGGCAGTTTGACTTGTTTGCAGATGACCAGATGGACCCACCTGGGCTCCAGTTTGATATGATGTCAATGCGCCAGGATAACCTCTACTGGTTAAAGCAGGGGGTTCCTGGTAAGAGCTGAATTCCGTCAATGATCCACCACCAACTGAAACTGATCTTGATGAACTTGAAGACTTCATACTGCAGTGTGACTGTGGAGAACATGAATGGGAAAAACTTACAATTTCCCGGAATTACTCTTAAATATTGTTATCCAAATATGTTTCCACCAGAGAGAGTACCTGAATAATAGCAGGATCATTGTGTATTGGCTCCTCTTTTTGAGAAGGTGGAGGTGACTTCACTTGCAAGTCCTGAAATTGAATAAATTAATACTCAAAACTATAGTTGAAAGGCATAAATCACAAATCAAGATTATGCTTGCATTTTTTGCCGTAAATAGTATAGAACTGGCAGTCTATCTCAAAAAAAAAAAAAAAAAAAGTATCACATCAAGGTTGCAAAATCTGAGCCTCTTGGTCAAGGTACAATGTTTCTAGTTAGCCAAAAACTGTATGTGGTTATCCTATCTTATATTAATGGTCTGCTCTCCTGAAAATAAAGAGGCTCATTCCTTGAATCAAGCATGGTTAGGAAAAGGGTTACAGGAACTTGCTACAGCAAAAGTTGGCTAGTAGAGGAGAGACCTATTGGAAACATGAGGGTCCTAATGGTCAATAATTAAATCATAGGTGGGAGATGGTAGAAAGTGCTTTCAAGGGACAACATTTTGTGGATAGATGTTCCTTTCAAGTAAATTGATTTTAGCCTATATAATAACGCAATTGATATGGACCCTTAAGTGGTTGACTATTTTAGTGAAAGGAATACTCACTCAATCTAACTGTCTCAAGAGAGGTTCAGAATCAAGAAATTTACGAAATAAGACAAAATGATTGAAAGATAATCTAGAGTCTTATTAATATTATCCATTGGACAGATCAATCATATAAAACCAGAATACAAAATGGAAACCCGAGCATCATTGGGTATAGTTCCATTTACCTTAATGTCACTTCCTCTGAACATTATGTATTCATACACTTTATCACTTGGAGGAATTTGAGGACCATCTTTATTTCGTCCCTCTGTTCCAAAACACCTCACTGCAATATTATACAATGCATAAAGAAAGGTTCAATCTCCAGAAAGTGATTTGAACCAGAATAAACAGTTGCAACTTCAACTAGCTGGACAAGCTGCCTTGTTCATTAATTAGAATTCAACAAAACAAGCAAGTAGCATGCGGTTGACTAAGGCTATGGCCTTAAATAGAGCGATATGGAAACATAGGATTCATGTAGCTGACCCCAAGTAATTGGGAAAAGGCTTGGCTGCTGTTGTTGTTGCAACGAAACAAGCAAGTCTACCATATGACATACTGGCAATCTTCAACCAGGAATAGAACATAAATTATCAAAATTCTTTTTTTTTTTTCTTTTTTTTTTTTTTTTTTTTTTTTTTTTTTTTTTTTTTGATTAAAGATGAGGATTATACAGCTGACCAACCTGATGTAGGACTGAGAGAGCTGTAGAGAAGAGAGAGATAAAGAGAAAAAAGATGGGGAGAAGATAATATTAGGTCAGAATTCTGAATAATAATCAATAATCTAAATCAACCATGACAACATAATGATTCCAATTTATCAAACCATATATATTAGAGAGCCCTAGCAGACACTTTTTACTTATTTATCTTCGTGCTATTGCAGATTCCGCGTACTAGTCGTGGTGCTATATTAAAAGCACAAAGCTCTATCCAGAGAAAGTAAAGGATAAAATTTAGTGAATCATTTGCCACCCAGGAACTGCACAATATTAATGCACCACAAACAGAAAATAGATGGCCTGCTATCATGCAAATCTAAAAATAATGACGAGGACCTGAAGTATAGAAAGGAAAAAATGTGAATCCACAATACAAAATCTAGAAAAAGTGAATTATATCAACTTCAGGCCATAAGCATGGTAGGATGACTTTTGCTGCCAGAATAAAATTTTTCATATGCATAAAATTAGAGATTTGGCTTTAACATAACTTGTTTGAAGTGAATCGTAAAATCTAAGTTTTAATATATTCAAGTTTTACCAGTAATTTTTTCATATAATTTGACCAATTGTAATTTATTGCTTAAAATATTTGGAGTATTCCACAAAGAAAGGATAACTAAAAGCAGAAAATTCCGAAATTCTCTTCAAGTTAGTTTAAGTAAGGGCATATCTTTATTTTTTTTTTAATTGCACTTACCAAAAGAAGTAAGAGCTGGTGTATTGTAAACAATTAGTTACCAACTTAAGAATACAGAAGTTCTCATTTTCTATGAAACATCAAACCCTAAAATAAGCTCCAGGAAACACAACTTTCTCAAGGAAGTTCCGTAATAAGAAGGCAAATTTCTTAAACGAATGAAAAGACAAATTTGGATTCATTGTAACGGCAATCATGTTCAGAAAGGAAGACCACCAAGGAAACCAAAGCTGGTGTGCAAAATAGGAACTCTTATAGCAAATGAGGAAGAGAACAAACAAAGAATATCCCAGAAAACTCAATTAGAATCCCTTCTGCTTCACCCCCTAGGGTTTAAACAAGTGCAAAGAAATACTCTTGTAATACCAGTTACAGTAAATAGAAACTAAAAAATAATGGTGGCTACAAACAGGTTGACAATTGGATTAATAAAATCCTGTGGATGTAGTGTTCAAAAGGGGGAAAGAAAAAACTATAAGGATTGCAAATGAAAATCATGGAAAGATATTTAAATTAACTTGTTTTCAAAGAGACACACTGCGGGTCACTATTTATAGTCTTCCTCACATGCTTCCTCAGAAGTTGAGGCTTCCTTAGTTCTGAACATTGTCTAACCTGACCCAAGAAAACTATATTTTTCCATGCTCAAACAAGCCAAAAACTGCAAAATCAGAACTAGGAGATATGTAATATTGCTAGTACTACAACTTTACTTACATATATCTCGACACACTAAGATCTACCTTCCATTACTTCTAAATTCATCAACAAAATGGTGAGGTTTCCACGATACTTTCCCTATATACCAGTTTTAATTTGAAAATATTACTTACCCATTTTATAATTACTACGTTATAGCTTGTAATGACGGCACATTTAGACCTATGAAAAAATATCTCTAGCCTAATCAACACCCAGCAAAAGCACTTCATTCTACACCAGGAAGAGCGAGACATCTTCATTCAGTTGCACACTTAAATCCTCATGCCCGTGCTTTTTGCAGGTCCAGGAAAAAGAAAATATGCGCTTCATTGAGGACCTTTTTTATCCTTGGGTAGGTGACTTTATTTTAAAATTATATCTTCTTCTTCTTCTTCTTTTTTCAATTTAAATGACTGTTAATTGATATATTGCACTATTTTTTTCCAGTAAGGGTATACTAGACCATTTTACTGCATCACAACCATATGTTTAATCACATCAATCATTTGGACTTTTGGATTCAAAGTTTTGGTTGACTGTTTGAATTAAATAAGTTTAGCACTTAATTTTAATATTTTAATACTATTGAGTATGAAAGCTATATGGTGTAACGTTTGAAGCTTTTTACTGGCCTCTGCATCAAGATTTAGCAATCAACCCCTAGGGGAAAAAGGATGAGAAAATAGCATCAAATAACCCATTTCCCTATACGCAATCCATTAGACAAAAGAGTTGATAATATACTGGGCTAATATTTGTTGCAATGCTATTTGATTTTGTTGAATGCACATGAAATTGAAAGGATAAATCCATTAATTTTCATTAGTTTTTGTACGACGCTTTGACTTTTCAATTGTAAGTATCCTTATCATACAACTCCAAATATATTGACTGTACATATTTATGAAACATTAAATCTTAGTTCACTTAGGGCTTAGCTACATTTTTACGCTTAGACTCTACGAGACCTTCGTCCTTTGAGCCTTCATAAGTCATAACTACGCACCAAAATATTTTTTCACTTGATAGAAAGGATGGAAAACAGGAAGGAATACGTCTTCACCTTTGTTTGTTTGGATGAACAGCAAGGAGATAAAGGAGAGATATCCTTTCATGCTCTCACCTTTTTTATAAGTTTACAAGCTCTTCTTTTATCATTGTATCCTTCCATACAATGGCAATGGTGATGTTTGAAGGGCAAAAATGCAGGGGAGTACTTCTTTCCTCTTCGTTTTCCCACCTCTTTTTGGGTGGAATGATTTTGAGTACTGGCATTGCAGTAGAGCGCCATAAATATACATATAAAAAGAGAGTCACAGTGTGCGCGCGCGCGCGCGAGTGAGAGAAGAGAGGAAGGGAGAGAGAGACTGGTTCTAAATTTCTAATCAAACGACAAAGCTATGTACCGACTTCAAACAAAATAAACGTATAGAGAAACACAGAAAAAGAGGGATAGAATCACAAAAATATCAATATTATTATTAATAATAAAATAATAATGATCGAATGTCACGAACCCTAATTAGAACAAATATTTAGCGTACAAACAACGCATATATACAAAAATTACACAGATGCAAGCAAATGTGTGTGAATATGCATATATGTATGTACATTTACGTGCATTGATACAGAAAAGGAATCGAACCGTACCGCTCTTCAAGCCAAGGGTCGAATCTTGAGGATTGAGAAAGTAAAGAACGCCCTCGTATCGAATCTCGTACTTGGATGTCAAACTTATCAAGCTTCCTACGTACGAATCTGCCGCGGAAGATGACGAAGACGACGGTGATGCTGAAGAAGACGAACCTATCTTACTATATTCATACGCCATTGGAAGAAGAAAATACTCCAATCAAAAGAAAATGAAAGCGAAAATGAAGAAAAAATTTCGTCTTATATTTGTTAGTAATCCCAATTTTCTCTTTGATCAGTTTCTCGCTCTATTTTCCTTTATTTGGCTTAACTCTGTGTGAATTTGATTTCAATCTAATTTGAAGTTACTTAGAATCTGATTCATCGTTTTGGATAAAAATTCCTTTTAATTATTTTAAATTTGCAAATAATATTCCTAATTCTAAAAACTACCTTTAAATTTGCAAATCACTCCTTATCCATCATTCATCTTGACGAAATTATATAACTATCCTTAAAATATGATAATAAAAAATTAAGTTATACAAATAAATCTTTTTTAAAAAAATTAATCTAAATTGAGTTATGACCCTAAAATCTACTATCAAAATAACATCTCATTTTTCTTATTTGATTTCTAAATGAGATGTTATTTACGGTAAGAATAAATATATATATATTGTGAGTATAATTTGGATCGAAAAATAAATAAATCGAAATTCGTTCATCCTTTACGGTAAGAATAAATTGCAAGAAACTCCTATTATATAAAAAATGTAGTTTATAAAACTCCTTACATTCTTCAAATTCCGTAAATAAGTATTAATTTGCAAATATTGAATTGTTTAAAATACCCCTAAGAAGTGCAAGGAACCCCTATTATGTACAAAAATGAATAGCAAACCCCATTTCATATTAACTACGAGCATATAATCACTTAACATTTGAAAAATGTGTGATTTATGGAGGAAAATTGTGTGCAAATTGGTCTATCCATCTTATGATTGTTAGAAAATGACTATTGGATGTCAATTATGACAAATAATTTTACTAAAAACTTCAATTTAAAATGACTAAAATGCTCTTAGTGACTTATGCATACAATACACTTATAATGAGATGGAAGAGAAAGTGAAGGAGATCAAAAAAAGAGAATGTGTGTTAAGTGGTTTAAGGCATTTCGGGTGTCTCACAAATATTTTAGACTGACTTGGAGAATGTTGTCTTGTAACATGTCATTTTTATTTTAAAAATTAATTTTTAACTCAAACTCCTTAAATTAATCTCAACCCAAGTATAAACATTTGAAAATATGTTGGGCATGGATTTGGAAAGCTCAGAAGAATAAACGTTAGGCTGGACTTGCATTGAAAGAAGGGTTAATTTCATAAAATGCTCTTACATTATAGATTTTGTACACAATGACCTCTACATTTTCAAAAAGTGAGAGTCCTAATTTTTTAAAGAAAATACATGACCGTTCTTATTTTTCAAAAAAATGTGCAAATAACACCCTTTAAAGAATTTTTTGGCCAAAAGTAAATTGAAAATTTCGATTTTGCCCATTTCCATCCCAATTTACCCTTACTCACATTATGTGCATAAAATCTCCTCGGCAACCCTTTTTGTTGTACACCCTCTCTCTCTCTCTCTCTCTCCCATGCCTCTCTTTCTTTCTCTCTCCCATCACCATAGCATGTTGCTACATTTTTGTTTGTGTGATAATTATTGTATTATTTCTTTTAATATTTTAAATTGGGTGTTTGGAGTTTGGTTTATCCTTGTACCAAACGAAGTTCTTCGGAAATTGGATAAAATAGTTATTTTACATTACTTATATTTCCAAAAAAATAAAAATAAAATAAAATAATTCTATTGACAAGAGGGTATTAGAGTCATTTTGAATAATCAGGGGAGTATTTGCACCAATTTAAAAGTGTGGAAATGTTTTATAATACACAAGGGATTTTCTGTACTGTATGGATAGTCTAGGAGTTTCAAGAATTGAAACATGTGTTGAACCTGGATTAACACCTTATTCCACCTAATCCCAGTGTGTTTTAATCTCATTGTTAACAAGGCATTTATTTCTTATACTTTCCAATTAGTGTTTGTCTCTCAAAATGCTTTAAACTTACGGTATAATTCTTGTTTTCTTTTGTTAACATTCTTCTCATGTTTCCATTAATTGGAGTTTTAATTCAACAAATCATAAGGGGACTTTTTATCTCTACTAATTAATAAGCTAATGCCATCATTCTATCTTCAATATTTTAGTTAATTTTGTCTTGGTGCTGGAAATATATAACATGGAACCCAAAATTATTGGTTAAGTTAGAAAGATTAGGATTTTTGTAAAATAATATGATAAAAACAAGCTTTGTGCGATAATGTGGTAGTGACGAATATTGGGAGAAAAGTTAAAGTGTAGGTAGGTTTGGTTAGTTGGAAAAAGTATAAAAATTTTGTGAGAAAGTAATTTTTCATAAGTATCTAATTTTACCACAATTACTTTCTTGAGAAAAATATATGAAATTTCAATTTTATCCCTCTGTTTTATAGTAAGAGGGAGAGAGAGCCTAAAAGGATAGAAACAGGACTGCATTTTGGATTTACTTTTTGTAGAATTATGGGCTTTATTGGTCACAATTAAACAGAAATGTGGGCCTTATTACCTTGTAGAATTTACATGTTGGGCTTTTGTAATTTGGATTTGACTTATTCTACAATTGTGGGCTTAAAGTTCAATGGACTTGACCTTCTCCATCAATAAATTGTGCATCAAAATTTTCGCTTGGAAAATGTTCCATTTCAAGGGCTGAAATTTCCATTTTCTCAACTTTAGCTAACCATATAATTTTATGCATACCTTCTATTCAGTTGACAACCAGACGACCCTTCAGGTTGATTAAGGAGAGACCTAAAGTGTTAATGAAATCAAACTCATCGTAGGTTCCAACAAAATTAAATTCACAATTTCATAAATTAAGGGTTTAAATTTATCTCCAATTTTATTTAAGCGAACACACCTTGAAATTTTCCCAAGCAGACACCCCCTGCAAAACAAGTCCATTCATTTACCAAAAATAAAAAAATATACGTACTGATACACACGCGCATATACATACATATATATATATATATATATATATATATATATATATATGTGAACCAGTAACAGGACGACCCCTTCGTGGAAGGCTATGGGTCAGGAAGTCTTTTATCCTTTGATAGAAACAATGAAGGGCTTGGAAAAAAGAGTGGTTTATGTTGAAATTTAAGGGGGGGTGCACATGAGCTGATTTGGACCATTTTGTTCTGTTTTTGGATGAATGACTACAAAACTGGCCCCAACAAATACTATACTATATATATATATATAACTAACCCCAATCAACAATTCTTTAAATTTTATAATCAGAACCGAACCATTCCATCACATAATTGAACAAAATATTAAGTTTAGATAGCCCGTCTAGTTTACCGATTCTAACAATTTTGTGCACCCTTAAGTTAAATGTGTTATAATAGCGATAATCATTATTTTGGATGGTAAATAAATTCTTCAAAATGAGTCAGTTTTCAAAAACATTACATAATTAATTATGTCATGAAGATCATGACTAGGACAAAACAATGCATGAATCACATTTTTGGGACTCTAACCTGATACAACTTCTCAAACTTTGACATTTTTGAAAAGGAATGTGCAATCAAATAAATTCCGACACATGGAAGCTCTGCAGCCATTATTGAATTTTTCTTTCGGCTTCAAATTCTAATCTGGAACACTTAACACAACTCCTTTTAAAAAAATCTTAATGTTGATTACGACATTTGATAAGAAATACATAAGGGTTGTTTGGATATCCAAAGAAAACCACAATGCTAAACATTTGAATGCTTATATACACTCCTTTAAATGTACTCCAGTTGCAACAGAACAAAACACACAACAATTAGCACGTAAATGGTAACAAAATATGTACTTGTATGATTTTCTTAGAATTAATTGTAGGGTTGAATATTGTATGTAACAATGATCAGACTTGTTTTTGATGCTCGAAACAAATAGAGATATATACAATGATTTTGTTCAGAGAATTACATCCAAACACAGAGTTGTTTAGAAGTAACCATCAACCGATGAGCCATGAGGGACACATGTGCTCAAGTTACAAGAGCTGGAGCTCCCAAGTCAGCTGTGCTTGGGTAAGCAGCTATGGGAGTTCTAGCAAGTCAAATGAGAAAATATTCAGTGGACCACGTAATATAAATATGATCTTAGAGAGAGAAAGAGTTTGTGAGAGTGAGAGAGAGAGTGACCATTAAAAGTGGCAGCAGAAAATACAAGACATCTGGTGTTGCTTTTTAATAAAGCAGGCTAGATTACAAAATATTTCAAGATATTCGGCTAAATTCTACTCGTTGCAGTTTCAGTGGGTCTTTTTTGGCTGTCAATTATTATTAATTTCCTTGTTGAATGTGATAATGACGAAACATTTCTTAAATTCATCCCATGCTGACAAAATTTATGATTCAATCAAATATTCGATACAGTGATAAAACAAAACTCTGGAAAGAATTTTGTTTGAGCAATGTTAAGACGGTTACTGAGGCGATTGTGAGTTAATAGTCGCTCTTTTCATTGGTTCTAATATTTGTAATTAATGTATTTATTAATTGTATATTTTTTTATTTTTTTGAAACATAAAAAATATATATATTTTTTGACAATATTACTCTTTTAGTCTCTTTCCTTACTTAAACCATATCAAATGTCTTTAATACATTACATCTATTTTTAATAGGACATTAAATAATTAATTTTGAACATTAAATATTTTTAATAGGACATTAAATAATTAATTTTAACACAAAACTACTTTATTTCTTTCATTAACCTTTACTTTCCACCCCTTCGTGCGTGTGTTTACACACACACACTGACACACACACACACATACACATACACACACATATATAACAATGGATTCTTTTATTTTCTTCTAGTTATTGTTTACCAGTGATAGGTGAGGGATAATATTTATTTATTTATTTTTCTTATTGAGAGATAAGAATTCATTCTCTATATAAGAGATAAAGATGATTTAGTTAGTAAAGGATAAAATTAGATGATAGCAATTGATATATACATACATATATATTTATATACATATTTAATTAAATTTTATAGAGAATGAATTCTTATCTCTCAATAAGAAAAATAAAAATAAAAATAAAAAATTTTATCCACAGACGAAGGGGTGGGAAGTAGATGTAAATGAAAGAAATAAGGTATTTTTGTGTTAAAATTAATTATTTAATGTCCTATTAAAAGTAGGAAACATGTAATGTATTAATGTTACCTTTTATATGGTTTAAGTGAGGAGAGAGACTAAAAGGGTAATATGGTTAAAAAATACATATTTTTAGGGTTTCATAAAAATAGAAAACATACCATTAATAAATACATTAATTGTAAATATTAAGACCAATGAGAAGAGTGACTGTTAATTCACAGTCGCTTCGTTAGCATTGCTCATTTTGTTTTAAAACAAGAAGTTACACAGTATTGAAAAAGTTTTTTACATAAACACTTACACACATTTCACAAATTGTTCACCACAAGCTCAATCTTCTCGATTCTCATTTGAAAGAGAAAGATATTATACCATTAAATAAATGAAACATTAGTAGGTTCGTATTTTTTGGTATCGGACAAAACTAAATTGATGAAGGAAAACTTTGATTTATTTGTGAATGATGAAGGAATTTAAAAAAAAAAAATTCTTTCTTGGAAATTGATGAAGGAAAATATTGCATTAGTCTATTTGGCTATTCGCGAATAATGGCAAAAGCAAAAATACTAAATAAGGGGAAGTGATTGAAGTTGGTCGTTGCTAGAAAAATGAGTAGTGCACGTAACAGTAACTGTCTAAAACCATAAAACAGCGATTGATTGGTTATGTGTTGATCATAAACCTCAACAAGCAGCTTTGTCAATGCATGCTTCATGCTTGAGAAAAACGAGGTACAGTTACCAGTTGGATAAACTCTAAGATGTTTACTTAGAATATTGGCTCCCTCTAAAGGCTCAGTTTAGTATGAAAAACTCCTTCAAATTTCTCTTCTTTTGGCATTTTTTTTTTTTTTTGTCAGTTATTGTAACACTCTCTTGATATTTCAATAGAGAAGTGTATATTTGTGATTTGGCAACTTGCAAATAAGATCAGCCAGAAGTGACCCAAAAAAGTCATGGTAATGACATTTGACTTTTGAATGTTTTCGATGTATCCGATTGCTGTTATGTGAGTAGAGAATGATATCTTTGAACTATATATATATATATATATATATATATGTTTTAGGGAAAAACTAACAAGAAAAAACAAAAGGAACATAACAAACTTTGGAATCAAAACCTTGGATTTTCATTCATTGCCTTGCGGACTTTTAAACATATTTCATATAACAAAACAACATAAAATTGGACTAACTCTTAACTAAATTCACTTTATCCCATCCCCTGATTAACCTTCGTTCTCAATTATTGAAAAAAGAACATGATCTAATTTGAACTTGGGTTTTCCCTTAAACATTCTCCTAGTTTGAAGACTCTTATATACAACTTGCTTTCCCTTGGATTCTTCTCTTCCTACTTCTCTGCTTCTGGATTGCTTTTTTTGCAAGGAAAAAAAAAAAAAGAAGAGAATTTTATCTCTCACTCTCTCTTCGTCTTAGACTGGCGGTGTAGTAATGATCTCTCTCTCTCTATTTTATTTTTTTATTTTTTCTCAATAAAGTAGAAACCACTTTTGAAAGCATCCTTTTCCAAACTTGGAAAGATCTGTGTGTAGTTTGGACTGGCTTTATGGTTGTTTATGGCTTTAGGGAGAGTTTGATGGGCAACCCGTTCTGGGGAAGAGCAAAGGGGCCATACTGAATTCCATTTTGTGGGCCCACGATAGACCACCTGTAGAAAAAAACAAACAAAACCTTATCAGCAATGATTCATTAAGCATTCTATTTTAGGTACTAAACTTTAACCACAACTGGAAAGGTAATGAAGAGTCTTAATTTGGAAGTGTGAGGTTAAACCAACCTGTACTTAGTGGTCAGATGATGCAGAAGCACCAACGTCTCCAGTTTGGCTAGCTCATTACCAGGACATGAATGGGTCCCATTGCCAAATGGCATAAAAGTATTGGGTTTTGGAGATACCTGTTAATTATAGAAAGATAAAAAATTGAATTTAAGATGATGGGTGGTAAAAACAAATAATCACAAAAAAAAATAATAATAATAATAATTAACAAATCTTTGTAAGTAGTATACCTCAAATCTTGAAGGATCAAACTTCTCAGGCTCAGGGAAATTCTCTGGGCTGTGGTGAATGTTCCTAAAAAGTGGTAAAACTTTCCACCCTTTTGGTATAAGATACCCTGAAAATAATTATGAAAATAAAAAGTTTTAGCACAAAAAACAAACTAAGAAGGAATTGAGAAATGGGTATTTCTATGACTTGGTCAATCTGACCTTCAAATTCAACATCTTCAACAGCTTCTCTGAAAGTAAAAGACAGAATTGAGGCAACTCGAAGTGTCTCTTGAATCACCCTTGAAGTTATTGGCATCTTCCTGGTATCTGCCCAACTCAGAACCTTCCTCTCCCCACACTCCTCTTTACTCGTTATTATGGCCTCTTGCTCTTCCTGTCAAACACAAGCACACGGTTTTTAAGTCATTGCTGCAACTATCATTTTCATTTGCCATAATATCTCTGAACCGTGTTTATTCTCGTTTTGATAATGGGGTCGGTCATATAAATTCTTTTACTAATTTATTTTTATTTATATCATTAAGTTTTTACCACTTGTTAATTTTAGTCACCCTGTATATATTGATTGATGAGTTGGGAATTGATGATGTCTTACAGTGACAGCTTGCAGGACACTTGGGTTCTCGGCGAGGTATTTGACGATCCACGTTAGGACACTGGCGGTGGTGTCCCGGGCGGCGAAGATGACACCGATGATGTTATCAGCTATCTGTTCATCGGTGAGGCCTTCTTTGTCTCCCATGAAAGATCCAAGCAAATCATTGTGATTGTGCTTCATTTGCCTCCTGAGAGAGAGGACTTTGGCCAAGATCTGAGCTAGTTCCTTCCTTGCTTTCATAGATTTGTTGAAGAGTGTCCCCGGAAGGTTAATGGGCATTGAATTGTACCCTTTCTCAAGAATGTAATAACACCTTTTCAGATCTTCTCTGTACAGAACTTCATCCTTCCCAAATATAGATAGTAATGCAACATTGAATGTGTACTGCAACAATTAAATTTGATAAAATTTAATCAGTATTCAACATATCAATAATAATTGTAAAAAATAAAAATAAAAATAAAAAAACTGCCCATTTGAATATTTAAACAGAACAGAGTGAGAAACAGGGGAGCTCTGTTTTGCTCTGTTTCTTTTAGTGTGAGAGGAGGTGAGTTCTCACCGTCTTCATTTCCGGGAATGTGTTGATCAAGCGGCCTTCCAATGATTTGAGAGTGTCAACAGCTATGGATTCGATATCAGAGACGATGTTTTTGATTGATTCTGGCATGAATGCTCGGAGGACAAGCTTCCTCAATTTGGCATGGTACTGTCCTTGGTGAAAGAAAATGGCTTGTTTGCCCAACATCCTCTCTTTGCTTGCCGGGAATGTGGGCTTGAAGAGATGAGCTCTGGTGACGAGCACGAGCTTCGCAGCCTCAGGGCTCGAAATCATCACACAGGGACATCCCAGTATGTGGGTCTTCAATATAGAACCATACCTGCCAAAAATCAAAACACGCATTGCTCGTAAGCATCACACAAACAACAAGTAGCTGAAAGAGACGGAGATAATGAAATACTACTAACTTTTTCACTTTAGAGGCAAAGAAAACATTTGGGTTTTGAGAGTATAGTTGAAAGGTTTCGCCGATGTACGGCCAGCCCAAAGACCCCGGAGGGAGAGGTAGTTTCTGGCGGGCAGAGGTGAGGAACTTGAGGAGTGAGTTGAGGAGAAAGGGAGAGAAAATGAAAGCAAATATGCAGAACAAGGTAGTGTACTCCATATATATATATATATATATGTGAGATAGTGAGTGGTTTTTGTAAGAGTACTAAGAGTAGTTGTGTTAAAAAGAGAGTGTATGAATGAGAAAATGAAGTGAAGAAAGGTAGGGTATATATAGGGAAGACGAAGCAGGGAGGAGGTTTTCAGTTCCAGCTCGAATCCCACACACGGAATCTCCCTCCAGCTAATATTTTTGGAAGGAGGGGGAAGAGAGAGAAAGAGGACAGGCACGTGTCAGTTCGGATGGAGAAAGAGTATGTATGAATTTGTTGACCGTGACTGGGCCCATCGGTGATCCGAAACGCCCCTTCGGTGATACAAAGGAAAGAAGGCATAAAGGGAAGAACTTGCAATCCGTACCACCAGCATGTACATTCGAAGTAAATAGTTTTGTCCACGTTTTCACTGTGCGAGAGGCTACAAACTACAGTAGTCATGTATGGACATGAATACGACTGTGTGTATATATATATATACATATAGTATATTTTTCATAAAATTTTGAGGAAAAAAAATGTAAAAAATTAAATTTTAGTATTTACGATTTTCAAAACACGTGACTATAGTACTAAAGTCTATCTCTAATTGAAAATATAGATAGCGAGAGATGGTCTGATGGTGCATAAGTCAATGATCTCAGATCGACAATGTCACACGTCAATAGAAGAGGCTATTAACATGTATGAAAGCTTTGAAAATCGGAGCACGTAAAGCTGACAATATCAATATAACAGAAGAATCTATAATGCAAGACCAATCATAACCATCAGTACCATTATTTTTTATTTTATTTTTTTCACGATATATATATAATCATGTTTATCTTTCTTACAAATAACTATTATACCTTTATATATGAAAAAACATAGAATATCCTGAGATGTGGTGGAGCCCACATGATGGATGATCAAATAGTTGTGAGACTCCGCGAGATATGGTACCCATAAAGTATTCTAGAATTTTTCCTAAATAAGGATATAATGGTTACGTTTCTATATTACTCCCTTCAAAGTACTTATTATTATTTTTTATTTTTTGTAAAATTAGTAGACCCAAGGTTTGATAATTCATTTAAAAAAATAAAAAAAAAACATCTCTTAAAAAAGCTAGATTCCTAAAAAGTTTTTTTTTTTTTTTTTTTTTTTTTTTTTTTTTTTTTTTTTCACACCCCTTCAGGTTTGGCCATTTTTCACCCTCAAACTTCTTTCGAAAATAACTATTACTTAGGTTTATTTCTGTTTTTCTGTTAAAGACTCCGTTAAATATATGGAAAAAGATAACTTTGCCCCAAAATTTTTAATCACATACTTAAATAACCATAATACCCCACACCCACCTACCACCACCACCACCATTTGCGCAACCGGCGCCACCATCACCATAACCGGTGACGGCCAACGCCACCGCCACCGGTGACAGCCAGCGCCATACTCATCCCACAACCACTAACACACCAATGACATCGCTACTATGGCTGGACTCGCCACCGCTGACAGCCACCACCACGACCCCCAAATCGTAACCCCAAATTAAACCCACAGCGGTGTATTAAACCTAAAAGGGATAAACACAGAAGATCGGATATGTCGGCAATGATGAACTTAATAAACATACTTGATTGAAGGACAGTAAGAGGATCGCGTCAACACCATTGGTCTAAAGGAAGACGATGAACCACAGGGCTATAACGCCTCTGTCATCGTCTCCTCCACTCCCACAATAAAGCTGAACGCAACGATGACATTAACCTCTCCCTCCTCGACGACGCCTTCGCTGTCGTTGTCCGCCCCAAGACTGCTTTCGAGCTCGCTTGTCCTGCCATCGTCTCTTATGCCGACATCATCACCGTTGCTACCCGGGAGCTCATCACCATGATAGCTCTCCTGCCACTCCGTCATCTCTTGCGCCTGCTTCGCCGCCGTCTCCAACGCTGAGATCCTCGCAGGTGTTTGTGGTGGTGTTGTGCTTGTGTGTGTGTGTGTGTGTGTGTGTGTATATATATAATTTGTAAATATACAGAATTTTGAGGGATATTTTAGTCTTTTAATCTAATTGTTTAGGTTAAAGAGTTATTTTGACAAAAGCAAAGGGTATTTAAGTCATTTAACATTGTGTCATAACTGTTCAACTAACGGATGGCACTACAATAAATGGTGTTATTTCCGACCCCAAAAGGCGTCTTAAAAACCAAAAAATAGTGTCGAAAAAGGGTATTAACGTCCCTAAATAGGGGTTGCATCTTGTGTCGGCAATGGCTGGGTCGCAAAAGCCATATGAATTTCCGACTCCTTTTGGGGGTTGGAAATAATGCTATTACTGACACCGGATTGGCATCGCTAATGGGGGGTCACAAATTTCATATTAATTTCTGACCCTTTTTTGGGGTTGGAAATAACCTTATTATTGACGCCAGATTGGCGTCGCTAATATGTTGGTATTTACGACACAATAGGGCATCGAAAATAGCCTCTTATTTGCGACTCCTAAAATGGAGTCATAAAAGCCTACACAGTTTCGACGCCATGTTCTGTCGAAGATACATAGCCTATTGCGACTTAATACAACTTATTACTGACCCTCTTTGGCGTCACAAAAGGGCTAAAAATTATATTTTAAATGATGTACATGCAAAGCAGTAGCATATATGTTCCATATCAGTCACAATTCAACAAAAATTGGTCCATGTGATTCAATACCAACAAAAATGGATCACCAAAGCTTATAATCAACACAATTATTTTCAATAGCTACAAAAATGGATCTTCACCAAACTGATATTTATAACAAAAATATAATTCAGTAGCATATGTTCAAATGATCACCAAAGCTTATAATCAACACATGTTCAACAAAAATACATGATCACCCAAGCCACAAATATTATTTCCATATGTTCAGTCACAATTGTTTCCTATGGAGAGCTTGGTGGTGGAACATTGCTTTGAGAGAGCAACCCTTTTAGAATCATACTCGTCTTAGCTTCTAATCTTTGCTCCATATTGGTCTTCATATCCTTGATTACTTTAATAGCATTAGCATATTTCTTTTCAGCTGCAATCCTAAGGTTTATTTCATTCTTTAGCTCCGCATTAGGACGGGCTGGAGGGGGTTTCACTCTATACCCCAAGCCACAAATATATTTGGGCCTCTTCCCAAGAACTTTAACGAATGCTTGCTTCTCTTTTTCAAGTCTATCTCCATCTGTAGGATCTAAAGCTTGTACTGTTGGAACCAGCTCTCCCTGCATAGGAAACAAATAGGAGCAAGACCATAACTGTGAACTCCATAATTAATAGTAAATCCTGTGAAGTAACCCATGCTGTAAAAATACCAATTTATTTTAATTTCAGTGCAGTCCATACACAATAGAGTTAAAATAATAATAATAATAATAATAATAATAATAATAAACGAAAAAAAAAATAATAAAAAAAAAAGAAAAGGAAAGAAGTTCAACAGAGATCATACCAGAGAAGAGTGAGTGAGTGAGATTTGCAGAACTCTTTGTTACCTCGATGGGTTAGGGCACACACTTTCGAAACATTCTCGCATCTCGCGTTTAAGAAAATCAAAGGGAGATAAGATCCGAAAACCATACATATGAACTATCACATCTAAAAGCCTTGAAGACCGAAATTGAAGCAAAAAAATTCATAAACTCTTCTGATTTTTACGATCTGAAAACCATACAGATGAAATACTTATTTTGTTCTTCAAATCTCAAACGATAGTACAAACTCACCGTACAAACTCGAGGACGAAGAGTGCAAACGATCATTAATGAAATGCTTGATGATCAGAAAGCAAACAATTGACGATGAATAAATTGCGATTCGAGCTGAACTAGAGTAAAAGAATTTTGGAGAAAATGTATGGTGTGGTTATCGGTGACCCTAAAGCACAGAGTCCAACAAATTATCTCAAAAAAATTAAAAAGTAATACTAGTAATAGATTTAGCTATATACGGTGTCGTTTAGGTTTCTCCAACCCCCCTTAGCGTAAGAAAAAACTAATTTTACATATACGCTGCCGTTTTGTCCCAAAAAAAACGCGGGGACCCAAAAAAAAGGCAGGGACCCAAAAAAAAAGGCAGGGAGGTGAATAAAGAAGGAGGGAAAGGTGGATTTTTGACCCCTACTAGTGGGCATCGGAATTGACCCCCTTATTTCTGACGCCAAAATTTAGAGTCACTAAAAGGGGGTTTTTTTGACTAAATTTTGAGCGTCGGAAAATAGTGGCGTCCCAAAAGCCACCTTTTGTTGTAGTGTGGGGTGCGAGTGAAAAACGGAGTAAAAATTTTGTAATGTAAATGATAGTTATTTTCAAAGGAAATTTAAAGGTGAAAAATGGCCAAACCTGAGGCCCTGTGAGTAAAATTAACTTTATTATTATTATTATTATTATTAACACAATGGGAGTATTTATTACACACATCACACTTGGTAATAGTGTTGTACATAAAATAAGAAAAATTACATATACATGAAGTTAGGAAAACTTTTTTCCAATCACATGAATTCAAACTTTTCTTGTCAAAAAAATAAAAAAATAAAAAAATAAAAAATTCAAACTTTTCAAATCTGGTACAGGTTAATTCATCAAAAGTGAGACGAAAAAAAAAAGAAAAAAAGATTAATAATAATAATGCACATTGTTTTGAATTACCTAATATGCCCTTTTCACTTTTAATCCTATGTTGACTTACGTGAACGGGTGCGAGGCAAGATCAGTTATGTGCACAATTTCATATTATCTGGATATGAAAATGAAAAATATTATATATATAAGTATTGTACACTCGAGTTAGTATTAACTGACATGAGACTTTTTAAAATAAAAACTAAAGTAGATTGTTACAAATGATATAAGTTGGAAGTGTGACCAACTAAGACACCTGATAGCATGTACATGTAATTTTTCTTATAAATAATTATGGAATGATACCCACTTGGTTTTGGATCGATTAAAGGAGAATGTTTTTATGAACCAACGTTAACAAGTAAAAATGATTATTTACCTATATGTTTTAGTAATTTTTGTTTATGCATATGGCATTGGCCAATTGGGTTCGGATACAATAGCTATGTTGG